CTTGGATGGCAGCCAAAAAATTTTTACACTTAACACTGGCAAAAACCTACTATATTATGTTGGTAGCAGAGCAGGTGTTGCGCAACTTAACATTAAGATCGACAACACTCTAATTACCAGACATAATGAGGGCAAATTCCTAGGCCTATACCTCGACAACAACCTAAATTTCAGCACCCATATCCAACACATAACAAAAAAAGTATCCAAAACGGTGGGGATCCTCTCCAAGATACGATACTACGTGCCCCGAACTGCCCTTCTCACACTATACCATTCACTTATGCTATCTGTGCTTGGGGTTCAACTGCAGCAACACACCTAAAGCCAATAATAACCCACCAAAAAGCCACAGTAAGAATAATCACTAAATCCCATCCCTGGCAACACACCCCCCCCACTCTTCATAGATCTAAACTTACTCCCTGTTCAGAACATCCACACTTACTACTGTGCAATCTATATCTACAGGACCTTAAATTCCAATATTAACCTTGACCTAAAACACTTTCTTGATAGTTGTGACAGGATCCACAGCCATAACACCAGACACAAATATCTCAATGACATTCCCCGTGTTCGACTAAGCCTTTACAAAAATTCAATGTATTTCAAAGGACCTAAAATCTGGAACACCCTACCTGAAAACTCTAGAACTGCAGACACATTCATCACTTTTAAAACTACAGTTAGAAAACATCTTATCTCCTTGATCCACCCCGACAACTAACTACATGATAACCACCTGGTGGTTCAAAATTACACTCACTCACCCACTGACTATAAACCCAGAAATACTAATCTTAATCTTAAAATAATAAATCCTAACTATGAAAGTTAAGACACATGTGCAACATCTGGATATCTTTATTGTAGACGTTTCGCCATCCAGTGGCTTTATCAATACAGATTCTAGGACAAAATTGGAAGACAGTAGAACTATATACAAAAGATGGGGTTAATCAGTCCCTCAGCCTTGGAGTTAGTGTTCACAGCATCGTGGTGGAGGAGAATCTGGAGCAAAGGCAAGAAGACTGGTGGTTATATAGGCATCAGTGGATAGGGACGGGCAGCAGACGAGGGCATAGTCACTGGTAGGCGGGGATTCCCCGTGGAATGTAGGTCCTTCCCAAAGAGATGGGTTAGTTGCAGCACCCGTGATAGAGGTCTTGTAGATGTCCTCTGAACCAAGATTCCATGATGTTGCATTTGTTGCAAGTTGTGCAAGGTATAAAATACCGACAATATGAGAGTTAAGACACATGTGCAACATCTGGATATCTTTATTGTAGACGTTTCGCCATCGGTGGCTTTATCAATACAGATTCTAGGACATAATAGGAAGACAGTAGAACTATATACAGAAGATGGGGTTTAATCAGTCCCTCAGCTTGGAGTTAGTGTTCACAGCATCGTGGTGGAGGAGAATCTGGAGCAAAGGCAAGAAGACTGGCGGTTATATAGGCGTCAGTGGATAGGGACGGCTGCTGCAACTAACCCATCTCTTTGGGAAGGACCTACTTCCACTGGGGAATCCCGCCTACCAGTGACTATGCCCTCGTCTGCTGCCCATCCCTATCCACTGACGCCTATATAACCGCCACGTTTCTTTTTTTGCCTTTGCTCCAGATTCTCCTCCACCACGGATGCTGTGAACACTTAATCCAAAGGCTGAGGGACTGTTTTAACCTCTTCTTTTTTTTTATACAGTTCTATTTGCTTCCTATTATTTCCTAGAACTGTATTGATAAAGCCACTGGATGGCGAAAACGTCCAAAATTTTAAAAGAAATCCAGATTTGCACATGTGTCTTAACTTTCATATTGTCGGTATTTTTACCTTTCTTGCACAATCCTAACTAGTCCATAAGTTGCCTATGTACTCATTATGAAAAACTTGTATTGTGCCAAAACAAAGCTTCACATTGCTAACCCCAAATTATGATGTAGTCATTTAAAGCCTTAATCCATAATCTGTAGGATTTAATGTTAAAGGGAATTAATCTAAGTCGGCTCGAAATGCCTACATGCAAGGTGTCCTGGGGCCCCCTCTGTAATTGTATTTTATAACATGTAAACCACAAAACCCCAAACCTGTAAACCCCAATTTTTACCCTTATAGAGAATAAACTGAATTGATTGAACGAATTAATTAATATTGGCCCCTTGCTGCCAGCATTTTAGTTGCCTTTAGTGATACATACCTTTTAGAGGAAAAATTTAACTTTTTTTTTTTTTTTTTAACCTATCAGTTGTACAGATAAAACATCAATAAGATGAAATTTTGAAGTTTTTCAAGATGTATAACTTATATTTTCCATTAATTTGTATAGCTGCAACACCATCTCCAGACAGTTTGTGCGAGATGCAAAATGATGACGTGACGCCTGAGCAGCATCTCTGAAGGAACAACTGATTTAACAGAAATAATTTATTGTCACAATTTCTAGACACAGATCACCAGTACCAAAAATGCACTTTGGTGGATAATCATTATGAGGACATTTTGCTGCAGAATGACTACAGCCTTAGCAATTGTAACAATGGGTCACCCAAAGCCTGTCATAAACCTTGCTCTATGTCAAGCCAACAAATATATACCAATAATTCTTAATGACTTTAAATTACAGCCGTCCTGCTACTACCCTTAATCTTGAAAATCAAATACTAAAGACATAGCCAGATAGTTCCTGGATTATTGGCAAGAATGCTAGAAGCAATTTTATTGTCAACAAGAAGGCAAAAGACCAACCACAGTAACCTTAACCAATATCTTGATTGATTCAACGGCTACAAAAAAAGCATCGGTAGAAAAACAAGAAGCCATAGAAACCCCAGCCTCCTGGTTCATTTCAGCAGTTGGGTAGCAAACTTAATAAATATTCAATTAAATCAATTACATGGCCAAAAGCAGAATTGTCTTCTGGGACACTTGAGTTTGAACTAGACAATCAAAACCTATTGATCCTGAACCACGGTGTTCACATCATGATTGTTAATACTGATGTCAGGTGCCTTCAGAGCATGCATCTCTTTTCCCCATTCTGCTTCTTCACTACCCATCATAACAAAAACAGAGAAGACAACAGCACCCCCACAGTTCACCACTAAAATTACGGTTTCTCTTCTGCCTGCTGCAATTTTATAGTAAAATCATTCAAAATATTACCAACAGCATCACTCAATGCACCAACTACAGTGGATCCTCGGTTTTTGTGATTAATCTGTTCCAGAGAGTCTTGACGAAACCCGAAAATCACAAAAACTGAAATAATTTTCCCCATAAGAAATACATAACGTAAATCCAATTAATCGGTTTCAGACACACAAAAGTATTAACAAAAAATGCATTTTATAGATTTTTTATAGTTTTACATACAGAAAACAATGAGAAAGAAATATAAAGCACTAATGAAATGGATAAATGAACATTTAAATCACTTTTACCTTTATTGAAGAAACTTGTTATCATATGGAGGGAGGAGAGTTTATTGTTTGGAGACAGCACAAAATGCTTAAATATGATGCTAATATCAATTCTATAGCTTATTTATGTATCACAATTCATCTAATATGACATAATAAACAATATTAATAACATAGAAACATGATATACACTCTAGAATGAATGAAGTATGTCATTACGTATGTGAGGAGTGGTGGTGGTGGTGTTGTTGGGTTTATCAGGGACACTGACAGCATAAGCCATACATATAGTGGTGGTGGTTGAAATAAGAAATACAGTATTTACACTTTATAAATAAGAAATATTTACACTTACCTTGGAGGAGATGCTGGCATTGGTTTAGGGTGGTGGAAGATACACAGGGCAGCATATCTTGTCAGTGGTCCTATATACCTCCAACAACATTGGAGAAATTAGTTTCATGTCCTTTTTTTATCACTTAATTGCTGAACTTACTTGTTACACTATTAATGCTACACTTTATAGCTGGCTGGCACTATAGCCTTTATCGACTCCTGCTGCTTTAGTACAGTACATATCATAGAATCACTGAATCATTGAAGAAGGCACATTCTCCCCTCTCTCTTCCTCCTCCACTTTGGTACTTTGCTACGAGTTCTTTCTTGAATTCTATTGTGTTTCTCATCTTCTTTACCATAGGGCTGGCACTAGGAGCTTTCTTTGGGCCAATGGTGGCTTATTTAGTAGTCACACACAATAAACAAATGCAAAAAACAATAGATTATTACGAAATGTTTTGTATGACCTCGCAGGGTAATGTTTACTCGCCAACAAACAATGCCACACTGACTCAGAATGGTGTGTGGGAGGCTCTGTGTGTGAGCGGGTACTCAGATGTGTTCCGTACGGCCAACGAAACCAGAGGGAATTAACGACAGTAGAGACTACATTTTGACGAAAAAAGTTGGCAATAACCGAAAATCACAAAATCAGAGGGTCCACTACTCTCACAGAATCACTATCCATTTATGCTCCCTGAAAGTTCTTTTCCCTGAAGAACCTCTGCTCCAAACACACACACACTGCACAACCAATGAAAACTCAAACTATGATGCTTGCACATTATAATCATCTTCTAAATCTACACAGGCAATGCAAAAAAAAATCATCTATGGCATATTTAAGTCTCAGAATTCTTTCCACTTTAACCTTATATACAGGACACCCATTCTTTCCTGTTGCAGCCATAGTTAACAAGTTCTTCAACACAACATAATCTCGATTAAGTAAACTGTCTGGGAAAACCCTGAACAATACTACCTCCAACTGTGTCACTCAAAGAAAGGTATTTGCTAGGTTATCACAAGTAGGTTGAGTGCAACTTGACTACACTCTATTTTGAGTGTACAGTAACTCAAAATCCAAGGTGCATCAGCAGTAAAAAATTTTCCTTACAAACTTGTAAATTATTATATACATACATACATTTATGCAGGGTAAAATTATTATATCAGCAGTAATTTATTCATAATAAACAATATCTCTCAAGATATTACAGAGCTTCAGATACTTACTCATATCAGGTGCATATTTGATCTGTTCTTCAGCACAGACACTAATGAATTCTGCCACAGTAGCATGCAGGGTATCAATATTTGCATCAGTGTGAGTAGTATTCTGCAGCCTAACACAGAGCACTGCCATTACTCCCAGAGAATGGCTTTGTGGCTGCAAGGTTGCAAGAACAGTATCCAGATGAGCAACATTTTTGGCTAAAACTTCAGTGCTTTTGCTCACATACTTCACTACTTCTCCATAGTTTCCTGAAATTACACAGTACTGTTATATGTATAAATTTCCTTGGAACAGCAAGGCTCTGCCATTCTGATAATGTAGATCACATCTATGCGTACTAGAGTAAAATAACAAGCAAAATAAAAAAGTACAATTATGTAATGCTGTTATTCTGTGTCACAGTTGGTATATCTGTGTCAGGATCTGGAAGTCATCTGGCTTAATGTGAATGCCCTAGCCAGGTACTGTACTCTTACCTAGGAAGTGACCCATAGCAGCCAACTAAAACAGGTACATTGCCTTTCACAGGCCTCCTCAATTTCAAACCAACTGCAATATGATGCAGTTCTTAATTAATTCTTGGAGTAAATATCACAAAGAAAGAAATCGCACACAAAGTCTAATACATGTATATTTTGACTGGCTACAAGTGACCAAGTTCACGATTTTTTTTTTTTTAACTCAATGGCTGTCTACCACAAAGAAAGGTGACCCAAACAAACCACAAAACATATTCATTAAATCCCCATCATTCCATAAGTGCACTCACATCACAATGAGATTATCCTCTGACTGTAACATCACTATCCTTCCTTCAGGGTGCAGGCACTGCACTTCCCACCTCCCGAACTCAAGTCTGGCTAACTAGTTTCCCTGAATCCCTTCATAAATGATCACATTCCAACATTAAGTCCATTAAAAATAAAGTAATCTCCATTTGCTTCTACACAATATGCACACACAAGCCTGCTGGATGCTTAACCCTTTGACTGTTTCGGCAGTACATATATACGTATACGTCTTACGAGCCAGTGTCTCGGACGTACACATACTACTCAATAATTCTAGCGGCTTCAAATCAAGCAGAAGAAAGCTGGTAGGCCCACATGTTAGAGAATGGGTCAGTGTGGTCAGTGTGCACTGTATAAAAAAAAAAATCCTGCAACACAGTGCATAATGAGAAAAAAATTCCGACCGTGTTTTTGGATTAAAACGCTCACTCTGAAGTGTATTTTCCTATAGTAGTTATGGTTGTATTCTCGTTTTCTTGGTTTCATTTGATGGAATGGAAACAGAGATGATTTTGATTAGTTTCATGATGAAAACGACCTTGAAACTGAGCTCAAGGTTGTGGAAATGTTTGATCTGGTGGCCTGGTGGCTAACGCTCTCGCTTCACACGGCGAGGGCCTGGGTTCGATTCCCAGCCAGAGTAGAAACATTGGACGTGTTTCTTTCCACCTGTTGTCTATGTTCCCCATCAGTAAAATGGGTACCTGGGTGTTAGTCGACTGGTGTGGGTCGCATCCTGGGACACTGACCTAATTTGTCCGAAATGCAGAGCATAACAAGGGAGTTTCTATATAGTAGTATGTCATTGTTGTCAGCTAGGACTGTATACCTTGTACATGTACTTGTAGTAAATAAAGATATTATTATTATTATTAATGTTCAAGAGTAAGCAAATCACACCACACGTCCAATACACATCAACTGGGGAGTCTAATATTTTTTCACTAGTGCACTGATATTATTTATACCATTTTTACAATAATGCAGTAGTCTGCATAATAGTAAATCTTATATTTTTTGTGTGAATAAAAAATCAAAATAGAAAGCAAGAGTAACATAAGAGGAGCCTGGAGACATGACTAATGAACAGAGGATATGTTATTTTAGTGCTAATATGTCTGCATTGTTTATTCTGGACCCTATTTTGAAATTGACAACTTTTTTTATTTGCATGAAATTGGCTAAATTGCCAATTTCTGACCACTTTATTGGGTAGTTGAAATCGGTAAATGGGCGGTTTCTTGTACTCAACTGATAGAAAAAATGGAGTTCTAAAGAAATAGCTATGAATCTGGTCGACTGGAACAATGGAATTAGCCAAAAATAGGGCTCAAATTCGGCGAAATCGCCGATGCATATACATCACCGAGATCGCTAACTTCGCGGGAGCGTAATTCCATAAGTTTTTCCATCAAATTTCATACTTTTTGTGTCACTACCATCAGGAAAAGATTCTCTATCATTTCATAAGAAAATACAAATTTTTTTCCCCAAAATTTTTCAACAGTCAAAGGGTTAAGCACTTAAAACTCAAAGCATCTATTACCCCCTCCCTCCAATCATTCCTGGGACATCCTCTACTCAACCGTGGAGGAGAGATACATAATAATATACACATGGAAGATACTGTAAGGCCTGGTCCCGAATCTGCACACTGTCATAACATACTGCAATGAAAGATATGAATGAAAATGAAAAATAAGTCCACTGAAAAGCAGGGGCACTGTGGGCACAATAAGAAGGCACTATATCAACATGTGTGATCCCAGACTATATCAGAAACACTGCTGGAGCAAATGCAGAAGTCTTCAAGAGAAAACCGACAAGTATGTCCACCAGGGCTCTGGTGGTCTGGTGGTTAACGCTCTCGCTTCACACGGTGAGGGCCTGGGTTCGATTCCCAGCCAGAGTAGAAACATTGGACGTGTTTCTTTCAACCTGTTGTCTATGTTCCCCATCAGTAAAATGGGTACCTGGGTGTTAGTCGACTGGTGTGGGTCGCATCCTGGGACACTGACCTAAGGAGGCCTGGTCACAGACCGGGCCGCGGGGGCGTTGACCCCCGGAACTCTCTCCAGGTATCTCCAGGTATCAACCAGGCTGTCATGGATATGTGGGCCACCAGGCCCACATATCCAGGCACCAGACAGACCTAGCCCAGGACCAGGCTGCAGGAGTAGGAAAACTCATAACCCTTCAGAGGTGTACCTTCCACCTTGGATTGATACACCTTCATTTTCATCATATTCCTGGCTATCCTCTCTACATGCCCAAGCCACCTCAACAACCTTTCCTCAGCCTGATTTATACCCTCGGTCATCCCATATCACCATTTAATTCCTGCCCTCTGAATTTTCTGCATCACATTCTCACTACACATTGCTCTCAAACATGTCGTCTCGTTGACTCCAAGTGGAAGTGACAGGTGCAAAATTATATTAAAAATACAAAAAATAACTTCATTTTTTCTACAGCTTTTACTAAGGTACTATAATCCTCTGCCTTGTTGTTAATATTGGCTTTTACATGGTTAAAACATTTATTCAATAGCTACCTTTCAATAACTATAAATTACAATACAATTTTTATTTCTTTGCAAGTTTACATTGAGATTCTGTAGTTACAATAATGAGCTGCAGTGCAAAGAGAGCCACTATCATGCCATGGCATTATGGGCAGACTAAATTAATGGCTTACAGACTACTTAATACTAGAGAAATTTATCAGAGTTTGTTTAAGTTGTACATCTGTTTTTGTTTAAAGCAGACAGTAAGTTTACTCAAGTTACAATCTGGGGATATTACACTGGGACAATTTGAAAGTAATTTGTAGGTTGTGTATTTCAATGGTAAATATTTAAGTTATATTACTGGAATATACTGAGCATTGGTGAAAGTAGTTTACAGTATGAGAATGCTACATTATGGTTTAAGGCAGTATAGTTTCGTGCAGGTATTTATACTACAATGTAGTATTAAGTTACGCATGAACTTTGGGTAACTAAATTTGGAAGTGTTAAGATTTAGGTAATTGGGAGATCTTTTGGCAAATTTAAGTACTGAGTACTGAATATTTAGTTTAGGGTGAGTAGATGGTTTTTGAGAAGAGTCTTAAATTGATGTTCAGACCGGGTTTAGTATTTACTGGTAATGGGTTCCAAATTTTGGAGCCCTTTATGTGCATAGAGTTCTAACATACTGTGATGTGGACATGGGGTACATCAAAAAGTGATGTGTGTCTTGTGTTATGGTCGTGTTTTCTATTAAGGTTGGTAAGGAGAAGTTTGAGTGAAGGGTTTATGTTTGAGTGTAGTGTTCTATGTATGTAGTAGGCACAAGAATAAGTATGGATGTTTTTTAAGGTGAGTAGTTTTAGACTTTTGAATATTGGTGGAGTATGCTGCCGGGAGTGGGAATTTATCATCATTCTGACTGCAGCCTTTTGCTGGGTTATTAGCGATCTTAGGTGATTTAATGTTGTTGATCCCCATGTACAAATTCCATATGTGAGATAAGGGTAGATGAGTGAATGATACAGTGCAAGGAGAGCTGAATGTGGAACATAGTACCTTATTTTTGATAGTACACCTACTGTCTTAAAGATTTTCTTGTAAATTTGTTGTATATGGGTCTGGAATTTAAGGCTACTGTCAAAGTGGATTCCTAGGAATTTTCCCTCTGTGAGTCTTGTGATGGAGTGATCCATTTAGCACTATGTTAAGTGGAACATTTGTGGCTCTGTTTTCAAACTGAATGAAATAGGTTTTGTCAGTATTGAGTGTAAGCTTGTTAGTCATCATCCAGGTAAATATTTTCTGCAATTCAATATCAAGTGTTGGCCAGTATGACCAGAATGACTTTTCACGCCTAGCAAAACGTATTATTATAATAAAAAAGAAGCGCTCTAGCAAGACATAAAAAGCAAAAATTAAGATTTCCTCTAAGAACCATTTCCTACGCTCAAGTGGAAGTTTTATCAGCTATATCTAGCCTAAAAATCATTACCATTAAATTGTCTGGATTTTCGAGTAACAAAAATTCCATGAATGTGACTAGCAACTTCCCAGGAAATATAAGAGACTTGCAGCTTTATTGAATAAGACACATGTATGACAGTCAGGCTCCATGAAAAATTACAGACATAGAATATATACATCACGCACCTTGTGAGGACAATGACGTAACATTATTAACGAAATGTTCCAGAGCAGATGCCATGTTTGTTGTTCTTGTTAGTAGTTAAAGGCCACTACAATGTAAGTCGTACTGACCACTATCTCTCGCTCTCTGGATTCAAATATTACCCAACTGTAGGCGAATAAAAAAAAAAAAGAAAAGTAAAAAAATCCAGAATAAGAAAGGTTGACTTACTTGCTTAAAATCTGGATGTAACGAGGCGACACACCCTCAGACAGGATCAATGAACGGCTTCTCACAAAAGCCGTAGTATTCAGTAGCGCGGAAAAGAGGAGCTGATATTTGGCGCCTCAGTCTGGGTGACCAATCAGTTAATAAAAATAAAAATATGATAATAATCTTTATTACCACAAGTACATGTACAAGGTGTACAGGTCTAGCTGACATCAATGACATACTACTATATGGAAAACCCCTTGTTATGCAGATCATTTCCCGCAAATTAAGTCAGTTTTGTCCCAGGATGCGACCCACACCAGTCGACTAACACCCAGGTACCCATTTTACTGATGGGAAAAATAGACTACCGGTGTAAGGACACACACCCAATGTTTTCACCCTTGCCGGGAATCGAACCCGGACCCTCGCTGTATGAAGCGAGAGCTTTAGCCACCAGGCCATGGAACCCCAGAAGGAAAATGAACTGTGTCACTGATGACCAGGGCCGTGTCAAACCTCCATAATCCACCACCATGTTCAGAAGTTCCTGTAATTACTATGCCTGAAGATCTAGCACTACAAGTGACCTGAAGAGTGTCATCATGGGCTTGGCCTCCCTAGTTTTGAAGGTTCTCATTATCCATCCTGTCATTTTTCTAGCAGATGCGATTGATACAATGTTATGGTCCTTGAAGGTGAGATATGGTAAACACGAGGAAATTAAATCTTCATCAGAGTACAAAACAAATTCTGGCCACAAAATAGAGCGAAACACCAACGTCAAAGACTTGGGAGTGATCATGTCGGAGGATCTCACCTTCAAGGACCATAACATTGTATCAATCGCATCTGCTAGAAAAATGACAATATGGATAATGAGAACCTTCAAAATTAGGGAGGCCAAGCCCATGATGACACTCTTCAGGTAACTTGTTCTATCTAGGCTGGAATATTGCTGCACACTAACAGCACCTTTCAAGGCAGGTGAAATTGCTGACCTAGAAAATGTACAGAGAACCTTCATGGCATGCATAACGGAGATAAAACACCTCAATTACTGGGAGCGCTTGAGGTTCCTAAACCTGTATTCCCTGGAACGCAGGCGGGAGAGATACATGATTATATACACCTGGAAAATCCTAGTGGTTCCCAAACTTTTTCAGCTTGTTACCCGATTTAACATGCCACATAAAGCATGTTACCCCTTTCACAAAATGTTGTTATTATTGATATATATGGCTAAACGTGAACGTATACAGCCTCGCATACTCTGCTAATCCTAGCAAAACCATTGAAAATGTAAGAACCACACATACATTATATATAAAATTAATAATAGCTACAAATTCACAGTAACAGTGGGTAAATACTAACTATATACTGCACAGGGCAGTACACATACATACCAGCTTATGTCTACCTCGGCTGATGCTCACAGATAAACTGACAGTGTGAAATAGAGGCAGCCTCAGGAAGTGAGTGACGCGTACTGGACAGGTCGATCTGGGCTACTGAGTGACTTTTGTCCTGAAGCATACTTGTCAAAATACTTTTGGGTTTCCACACACTTAGCTATATATTTCTTCATTTCTAATACTGTATATTAGTTTTTGATGTTTATTGTTATTTGGTTTAACTTTATTACTTACTTATAATAGGTTTACTTTACAACTTTATATACTAAGACAAAGTTACCTGGAGTTTACCTGGAGAGAGTTCCGGGGGTCAACGCCCCCGCGGCCCGGTCTGAGACCAGGCCTCCTGGTGGATCAGAGCCTGATCAACCAGGCTGTTGCTGCTGGCTGCACGCAAACCAACATACGAGCCACAGCCCGGCTGATCCGGAACTGACTTTAGGTGCTTGTCCAGTGCCAGCTTGAAGACTGCCAGGGGTCTGTTGGTAATCCCCCTTATGTGTGCTGGGAGGCAGTTGAACAGTCTCGGGCCCCTGACACTTATTGTATGGTCTCTTAACGTGCTAGTGACACCCCTGCTTTTCATTGGGGGGATGGTGCATCGTCTGCCAAGTCTTTTTGCTTTCGTAATGAGTGATTTTCGTGTGCAAGTTCGGTACTAGTCCCTCTAGGATTTTCCAGGTGTAATATCATGTATCTCTCCCTCCTGCGTTCCAGGGAATACAGGTTTAGGAACCTCAAACGCTCCCAATAATTGAGGTGTTTTATCTCCGTTATGCGCGCCATGAAAGTTCTCTGTACATTTTCTAGGTCGGCAATTTCACCTGCCTTGAAAGGTGCTGTTAGTGTGCAGCAATATTCCAGCCTAGATAGAACAAGTGACCTGAAGAGTGTCATCATGGGCTTGGCCTCCCTAGTTTTGAAGGTTCTCATTATCCATCCTGTCATTTTTCTAGCAGATGCGATTGATACAATGTTATGGTCCTTGAAGGTGAGATCCTCCGACATGATCACTCCCAGGTTTTTGACGTTGGTGTTTCGCTCTATTTTGTGGCCAGAATTTGTTTTGTACTCTGATGAAGATTTAATTTCCTCATGTTTACCATATCTGAGTAATTGAAATTTCTCATCGTTGAACTTCATATTGTTTTCTGCAGCCCATTGAAAGATTTGGTTGATGTCTGCCTGGAGCTTTGCAGTGTCTGCAATGGAAGACACTGTCATGCAGATTCGGGTGTCATCTGCAAAGGAAGACACGGTGCTGTGGCTGACATCCTTGTCTATGTCGGATATAAGGATGAGGAACAAGATGGGAGCGAGTACTGTGCCTTGTGGAACAGAGCTTTTCACCGTAGCCGCTTCGGACTTTACTCTGTTGACGACTACTCTCTGTGTTCTGTTAGTGAGGAAATTATAGATCCATCGACCGACTTTTCCTGTTATTCCTTTAGCACGCATTTTGTGCGCTATTACGCCATGGTCACACTTGTCGAAGGCTTTTGCAAAGTCTGTATATATTACATCTGCATTCTTTTTGTCTTCTAGTGCATTTAGGACCTTGTCGTAGTGGTCCAATAGTTGAGACAGACAGGAGCGACCTGTTCTAAACCCATGTTGCCCTGGGTTGTGTAACTGATGGGTTTCTAGATGCGTGGTGATCTTGCTTCTTAGGACCCTTTCAAAGATTTTTATGATATGGGATGTTAGTGCTATTGGTCTGTAGTTCTTTGCTGTTTTCTTTACTGCCCCCTTTGTGGAGTGGGGCTATGTCTGTTGTTTTTAGTAACTGTGGGACGACCCCCGTGTCCATGCTCCCTCTCCATAGGATGGAAAAGGCTCGTGATAGGGGCTTCTTGCAGTTCTTGATGAACACAGAGTTCCATGAGTCTGGCCTGGGGGCAGAGTGCATGGGCATGTCATTTATCGCCTGTTCGAAGTCATTTGGCGTCAGGGATAACATCGGATAGGCTTGTGTTAATCAAATTTTGTGGCTCTCTCATAAAAAATTCATTTTGATCTTCGACTCTCAGTCTGGTTAGCGGCTTGCTAAAAACTGAGTCATATTGGGACTTGAGTAGCTCACTCATTTCCTTGCTGTCATCTGTGTAGGACCCATCTTGTTTAAGTAGGGGCCCAATACTGGACGTTGTTCTCGATTTTGATTTGGCATAGGAGAAGAAATACTTTGGGTTTCTTTCGATTTCATTTATGGCTTTTAGTTTTTCCCCGCGATTCCTGACTCCTAAAGGATTCTTTTAGCTTAAGTTCGATGCTTGCTATTTCTCTGACCAGTGTCTCCCTACGCATTTCAGATATATTGACCTCTTTTAGCCGCTCTGTTATTCTTTTCCGTCGCCTGTAAAGGGGAGTGCCTGTCTCTTTCTGTTTTACATCTACTCCTCCTTTTTCTTAGAGGAATAAGCCTTGTGCATACATCGAGTGCCACCGAGTTAATCTGTTCTAGGCATAAGTTGGGGTCTGTGTTGCTTAGTATATCTTCCCAGCTTATATCGGTTAGGACTTGGTTTACTTGGTCCCACTTTATGTTTTTGTTATTGAAGTTGAATTTGGTGAATGCTCCCTCGTGACTAATCTCATTATGTCGGTCTGGGGCTCCGCGCATACATGACTGAACCTCAATTATGTTGTGATCTGAGTATATTGTTTTTGTACCGCATTGTTTTCTTGATTTTCAGAATTCATAACTTTTTTTCTGTCACCCCTCCATTACCCCCCAAAAATGGTTAAATTACCCCCAGGGGGTAATTTACCCCCAGTTTGGGAACCACTGTTCAGACCTAGAGGGACTAGTACCGAACTTGCACACGAAAATCACTCACTACGATAGCAAAAGACTTGGCAGACGATGCAACATCCTCCCAATGAAAAGCAGGGGTGTCACTAGCACGTTAAGAGAGCATACAATAAGTGTCAGGGGGTCGAGACTGTTCAACTGCCTCCCAGCATACATAAGGGGGATTACCAACAGACCCCTGGCAGTCTTCAAGCTGGCACTGGACAAGCACCTAAAGTCGGTTCCTGACCAGCCGGGCTGTGGCTCGTACATTGGTTTGCGTGCAGCCAGCAGTAATAGCCTGGTTGATCAGGCTCTGATCCACCAGGAGGCCTGGTCACAGACCGGGCCGCGGGGGCGTTGACCCCCGGAACTCTCTCCAGGTAAACTCCAGTTATACCAGCTGTCTACCAGCATGCCACTGAGTTGGAAGGATGCATACTATTTGCAATTGCTTATTTTTTTTTTTTTTTTTGCGCAAGAGGTCGGTCGTAAGGCTGCTGCTGCAGATGGTAGTTGCAGGGCGTTCGATGGAGATTGCTAACCCGGAGTTGGTTGGCTAAGCAGTTTTTGAGGTGGTGTCCTACCGTAGGATGTATGCAGATATTACAAGGTTAGTTGTAAGGTGTAGATTCGTAGAAGTAGGTCTCCCAAAACTGGGGTGCATTTATCATTGTTGCTGGATGTAGAATGGTTCTGGTGGTATCTGTTCTTCTATTTCTTCGGGGAGGTC